GCTCTTCTAATCATATAGAGGTATGCAGGCAAATCTTCATATCCGCTCTCTGCAGAACCCCTGACCAAATTCCGTGCTTCCAAGAGTATTCGATGTGCCTTCCAATAATCCATCTATCATAAAAAATAATGAAGAACACAATGAATACCACAATATTACGGTAATGATTAACACGTTATTGCCGAAATAACTCTAACCTTGATACCAAATCTCATTTTCATAGCTTCGGCAACATGACTTGGCAAAACCTTTGACCCAACACCACCAACATGATCCTTATACAAAAGTCCAAGTATAGCTGGCGTTGCTTGACGGGACCTGGCAGAACGCTCTGTAACAGAACATGTATGTTCTGCGACATACACCCGAATAGTAAATTGTGAGGAATCTCCAACCGGTGTAGCTCGAACTCTCCAAGTGCAGCCTTCCACCTAACACTTAACTACTAAAAGATTGGGCCTTGATCTGTCGACATCAAAATCAAATTGATGTATAACTGATAGAATCTTCAGTTTAGTTTCCAATGCATCTTTAGAGGCGTATTGTTGTCCAACGGTAAGTGAAGTCATCTCCGAAGTAACATGTGGTGTCACGTCCTTTACTTTCTTGGTCACCATCATGGGTTTTCTCTTCTTAATAGATAGGCTTTGTTTCACATCTTCTTCTTCCAAAGGCATCCCATATAAACTAAAATCCTCATCATCCGACGATGCTCCGTCAGAATCATCACAATAATCAAACCGGTGATCATTGTCATCCTCATCTTGATCTGCTATACATGGTGTAACCACGTCAATCTTCACTCTGTTTTTATCAGCAGGTTGTCTTCATGTTTCTGATCTTCATGTTTACTCTGCTTATCATAAGCAATCGAAACCTCATTTGCTACTTCTTTTGATGAACATGCTTCTTTGTCCATAGCTTTCTCCTTCAGTTCAACGCAAAGCCGCATTGGTTCTGTTTTTAGTTGGCCCAGAAAACCTTGAAGTTGTCTGCAATTTTCAACTTTTACAAGAGGAGTATTTTGCGGCAATTTTAGCAAAACCTTCTTAGGAAACATGTAACTCAATTCCACATCGTAGAATCTCCACTCAACTTTGTAATCTTCAATAACCATGCGAATCAAATCTTCATAGCGAGTATCATTATTTGCTGTGAGAATTTTGCACCCCTTTTTCTGATCAACTTCGAATATCCATCTGTTTTTGTCAAAAATCTATTTGCCACAAACAAGTATAATTTGATCCATTGAATTGAAAAAGAAAAACAAAACGTTTAATTGATCATGATGGAAAAGAGTGAGTCGACAGGTTGAATGGAAAAGAAGAGAGAGTCGACGTTGTATTGAAAAAGTGGCTGCCATAGATAGAAGTTAGGTTACGATATTTGTTAATTTTAACGAAAAAACTGCCATAACATAAGTCTGTTGTCTGCCTGTAAAGTCTGTTGTTAAAGAAAAAAATGCAGAAGGCTATTGTAGTAAAGAAATTAATCTGTCGTTATAGATCATCTAAAGTCTGCCATCAAAAAAATTATTTTAGTCATAAATTAAAAAACTGCTGCAAAAGGTACGAATAACTGTTATAACATAGAAGCTATTGTAGTAATAAAAGTGTAAATTTTTTTTGATGACAGACTATTAAAAAACTGTTGATGTTATTAAAAACTGCTATGTAGTATAACTATTAATCTGTCACAGAAAATAAATATGTGACATAAATCTGTCGCAGTATAAAAGTCTGTTTTACCATAACAACAGATCTGTGAAAGAAATATGTCACGTAAAATAAAACTGTTATCCTAAAAAAAATCTGTTATTTCGTGTGGTAGACTTATTCTAAAAATCTGTCACGTTAATTATAACTGTCATATCGATAAAAAAACTATTACATAGCGTGACAGATTAATTAACGGAAATCTGTTACTCAAATAACAAGTCTGCTATTTGTAATATATCTGACGAATAAATAAAAATCTGTTACCAAATAAACAACAAATTTTTACAAATTTCACGAAATTATTTGCCCAGATGTGAATGGCAATGTCGTTAATATTAATTTTTTAGCAAAAACAATTAATAGCAATTTCGTAAATAGTTTATTCCTATCAAAGCCTAAAAGAGTATTATAGACATAAAAAAAGAATGAGTAATAAAATTAAAATAAGAGTTACTCTAGTAATTAACATTAATTTTAGAGCTATTTCAGTAATCTTTCCTAAAATCTAAAGCTGATTATATCTAGTGTGGGTAGTTGTTTTCCCAATCATCATCCCACAGTTTCAATGATAAGCTTAGAAATATGCTGAAATATTCGACCCTTGGTCTCATTTTCAGAATCAAACCACATAAGAGAACTCCATCAATAGAAATCTCAACAAAGTATCTCACTATAAAAAAATAATAAATAATTAGATGATCGGCCTGCACTGTGTGCGGACTATAAAATATTTTATATGTTAAATATATGATTAATATTTTATATTAAATATGCTTTATTAGTATATAATTAATTATATATTAATAATTTTATATAAATATTTAATAATTAAAAATAACAATAAATCAAATAAAAATGTTATAAATTTTAATAGAAATTGAAGATAAAAAAAATGTTAACCCAGATTCTTATAATATGTTTTAAATATTATCTATATTATTTTTTTCGTTTGCACAATATAATCTTGTCAATATATATATTTTAAGTATACATTTTTCCTTGATATATTGCTAAATAAACCAAAATAAGTTTTACCATCCCTACTTATCTTAAGAGCGGGTAGATGGTTAGTCCGCACATTCGTGTGTACCAACCACCTCACCGCTCTTAAGACATAATTTTTTTGATAAATATAAATTGACTAATAACTAAAATTAAAATTAGATTGTAATCGAGATTAAGAAAATGTATGCACGACAAGTTTGCATGCGATTTTAATTTTGGTACAATTAATATTTATATCTACACGTATATTTGTGAAAAAATCAAAGTATGGCTTTTATGTGTTAAAATAAAATATTAAAATATATGTTTTATAATATATATGTTTTATAATGTATGATCGATTTTTTTAATAAAAAAATATGTATATTTATGCATGTAGATATGAGTTATAAACAAGTGAATTGTAATATATAGGTATTGGTTAGTTTTTCTGATATTTTCCGCAAACGTTATGATTTTACACAATACAGTTTTTTGGCGTTTAACAACAATCACGAAAACCGTTTCTATTGTTTTGTATTTAATCAAAATTACTTATTTTTCAGCATTTTATGATATATGGTTTCTTAAAACTTATAATAAAAAATTGTGAATTCTTATTTTATAAATTATCCAGTAGCACTCTGTTCATCTCTTCGTCAAATTTTTTATAGCCTGCAATCGTGCGCTTTCACAAACTCTCTGTAACCGCATCGTTTAAACCAGCCGGATCCTAAACTTATATGTGTGTGGTTGTAGGTGTAAAATAATATATTTAATATTTAATTATTATATTACAAAATGATAGTTTTTCTGTTTCTAACTTTGAATATGTGTTAATTTTATATATAATGGATCATAACATATATATGAAATAATATTTTAAGATGTTGAAAAAAATATATACATGAAAGAATTAATATGTGTAAGATAATATTTTTAAATATTTCAAAATATCAAAAATATTCTTTATTTTTTATCTTCTTTGACTCATATTTTGTTTCGTAACCTTGAATAATATATTAGACAGTAAGATCATCTCCAATGTATTTTTTCTATTTTTTCCACTGTTTTGAAGGAAAAAGAAAGATTGTTACTTTTTCCTCCTATTAGAAAAACTAACATCGCTATTTTTCTCTAAATTAGAAAATTTAGAATAAAAGTGGGTGAGAGATGCTTTAAACCGAAGATATAGCCTGAGAATTTTACAGAAAACCAAAATCGTTAAGATTCATTTTTACTTTTACTTCTACTTTTTATTCATATGTTTATTTCTATCAAATTATTATAATAAATATTTGTTATAAAATTTGTGAAATCATATTTTATAAAATTCTCCGGTAGTTCTCTGCTCATCTTTTTTTCCATATTGAGGAATTGGTATGATGAAGAAATTAATTTTTTTATGGTTAGTCTGTTCCCATGTATTCATTATAAAATTTGAGCCACACATGCGTTTATTATAAAATTTCTTTCTTAAAATTTTTAAATGACTCTGTAAAACAAAGTTTTTGAGAGTTATGGAAAAACAAAGCTGTTGAGATTTTTTTTACTTCTACTTCTTATTCATATTTATTTTTTGTTATTTATAATTTATTTTTTTTATCCGGTTACATTGCGTTTTGTTTCTGATCTTAAATTCTCGATCTACAATGAGATTGTATATGAGTATGTTATAGACTTTTAATTTATTTAAAAAAAAATAAGAGATATCTTGAGATGGTAATGTAAGTTACGCAAATTCCAAAAAACAATAATTGAAAAATGCTAAAAACTTATCTACAAATAATAATATATTGTCCTCCCAAAATTATTAATATATAGCGTATATATTATCTTATTAGATAATCTATTTATTTCTATTTAAAATATACTATATATATTAGTTGTAAAATTTTCTTAATCATATTTTATGCAATTTATTATGAATATATGTAAAAACAAATTAAAATTATAGTAATTATTATTTTCTGTGAATTAATTTTTTAGTGTTATAATCTAGTGTATTTATGTTATAATTTTATAATTTATTCAATTATAATTTAGCCAATCAAAATATTTCGTTTATTTTAAGAAATTTGTCATTTCATATTTCCATGTTACAATTCCATGTCACCATTAATTTACACTAACTTTTGCTAAGGTGATGACACATCAAAATGTTTTCATTAAACATGCTTCTCAAATAATAGTTAAGATGATAAACTAAAGGAAAAAGAAAAAAGAAGGGAGAAAGTGAGATACGGTCTCTGGTTTGAGAGATCTATAGAAACGGTTCTTACAGATGTCAACATAATATAAGTTCAATTGTTTTATTTTTAAAATTTAATTATAATCTAAAATTATATTAATATAATATATCTACATACCCAACTTAAAAGATTTTACCATTGGTGATGTTCTTACATTCCAAGAACCAGAAAAAAAATTGAGGAAAAAAAATATAAATACAAAAATAACAATTTTTTAAAAAAATATTGAATTCCACATTTAAGAAATGGAATTTGCCTCGGCAGAAAAAATATTGAGTTTTCAGACCCAAGCATTCAGCTTTTGTCCTCCCTATAAATATGTCAACATCTTTTACCTTGAGTTACACAAGAGAAGTAATAAGAAAAATATATTGGCGCCTCCGTAGAAAAATGGAACTAGTTTTCATACTGAAGCATTCAGCTTTGTCCACTTCCGGAAAATTGTCATAACTGAGAGAGATGATGATTGGGAAAATAAACCACAAATCAAACCAATCCACAAACCCTGTTTTCACCAAAACATTGAATCAACACACAAAGAACATAACATCTTGCTTAACAAATTTCATAAGAGAGTATAGTCATGCTTATACCTTGGCGTAAAACTTCAACTTGAAACCACAAAAAGCTGCAATAGGCATTCCAATGAAGTAGAATGTTCCCAAGTTTATAACCGTGACCATTCGCTGCCATCCGCATCCTCTGGCCACTCCTGTAAACCAAAATGCAAAATGGTTTTTTTTTTCCTTCATGATGATCTGAGAAAGAAGAAGTTTTCTTGAATCTCTTATATTACCTGAAAGAACACCTTGGATCGAATCAATAGTTATAGAGGCAGCAAGAAAGAACCTCAATGATGCAAATTCTTCTCTGATCACAAGGCTATTGCTGAATAACCTAACCCAACTATCGTGACCTACAAGTAAAGCAACCACTACGCAGAGAGAAAGAACTAAAGACAACTTAATGGTTACAGAAGTCGCCTTCTTTGCGCCTTCTACATTTCCTGCTCCGAGTTCGTTTGACACACGAGTACTGCAAACATTTGTTAGTTACATTTTCAATATTACATTATAAGTGGAAAATATGATTGATGAGATGACTGACCTTGCAGCTGCGCTAAGTCCGTATGTTAACATGTAGCAAATTGCTTCCGTGCTGACACTGAATTCATTTAACATTACACAATAATGAACAATTTTTGGTGATATGAAAAATAAATCATGGATTAACAAAATATTGATCTAAAACTAATTACCATATAGCTACCAAAGAGGTGGTGATTTCCGGATTAGGCATCACTCCTGCCAAGAACACAAGAATCTCGAATGCCCAATATTCCAAGCTGTTGCAACAACATGTTCTCCTAAGCTTCAATGACAAGCATAGTAATTTATAATGGCTGTTATTGATCTTACTTACCATACCATAGCAGCAGAAGGGAGGCTTAATTTCAAATTTATTACTACATAATGGGTTGATTCCAACGAAAATCCGGTCCATGTTTCCTTAAACTTGTCTGAACAGATCACATAAGTTCCTAGGGAAAGGAAAGCCATCCACAATGAGATAGATGTAGCTATTGGAGCACCAATGAATCCAAGTCCAGCCAAATGAACCAGAACATATGCAATACCGATATTGATAACCAAGGAAACAAAAGAGAAGATGACTAGTGGAGTAACGATGGATTGTGTTTGGCAAAATCTCAAAATGTTTTGCAAGAAACCGTAAGCGAGTAAACCGGGAACTTGGTACTTCATATAGAGTGCAGCTTGTTTTGAGATGTTAGGATCTTGTCTTAGAAGTCTGAAAACCGGTTCTGTAAAGAACCAGAAGATTGAGACGAGGATGGTGAAGGCTAATGAGACGATGCAAGATGATTGTAGATGAATCCCCAACATTCTGTAGGTCTTTGCACCAAAGCCTTGTCCACACAATGTCTCAAGTGCTCCACTTAACCCTGTCTGAAAATAATAAAATACAATTAACATATGTAATAAATTAAAGTATATATCCACGTGTATAAAAATCACCATTAATGAAAAAAATATTATTAAAGATACGTTAAAAACAAAGACTAATTAAATAACAAGAAAAACTGATTATTATATCCCTTGTCTATCTGTAAAGATCTTCGCAATAATTAATCAAGGAGTGGGTTTGAGTCATTTATGCACTCTAAAAATAAATAGCAAATGTTGAATATATAAAGCTTGATCGGTAGGTACCATGAAGGAAAAACCCGTGACGGTGGCCCAAGCATTGCCGAGGGTTGCACCGGCGAGCTCGAGTTGGCCGAGGTGGGAAGCAAACATTACAGAGGTTAAAGGGATACAATAGAAGAAAAGATTTGTGAATATCATTGGAAGAGAGTAAATAATCTGAGCCTTTGATTCTTTCAAGTCGATCACTTTTTGAGCCCAAGATGATCTTCTCCTCTTTACTCTATCATCTTCTTCATGATCATCCAAGAACTGAGAGCTTGTGATGGGATTTGCCATTGGATCTTCTTGATTAAGGATCTTGCTTAAGTTGGTTGCTGAGGAAACTGGAGAACGGGAGAAGAGAAGAAGAGACGTTGAAGAGGAGAATTGTGGTTTGTGACCCAATTAAAAAAGGAAGTTAAGAAGTAACACGTTATTAAAGACTTATTAACACAAAGAGACGCAAGCTGTGAGTTAAGAATTAAAGTCAGTACACTACAAAAGTTACGGCATAAGACTGATTTTAGGATTTCTTAGTTGGAAGCGAGTTGGCGTCAGTTACGAAACTGACTTTAAAGTTTAAACCTCTTAATTATCAATACTCTTTTGTTTAAGAAATTAAAATAAGGGTAACTTTTTTTAAAAAATATGTTAGTCAAGTTAATGTGAAAACAAGATCAATAATCGGGAAAATTGTATATTTTTATTCTTAGTCTACTTTCAGTGGCATAAATGAATTGATGTATTATTAGTTTGCATTTAGCCAAACATTAATTCGCAATAAAAAGTAAATATATAGATAATGCTGGTATTTATAAAATATTTGTTAGATTTGTATATTTTTACGATTTTTCTTCATAAAATCTATGTTTCATATATATTTTTTATTTTGGTTCGTTTTTGGTCATTAATTTGCTCCTAAATAAACATAAAGCTTAACATAGTTTGGTTAAGTGAGGCCAATATATTTAATGTTGAACGATGTTAAGTTAGTGGGCAAATCAATGTTATTACTTTGAGCAACCGACGTTATAAATAGTACTCCGTTTGTTTCACAGAGTCACATTGTGACATTTTTTTCACTTAAATTAAGAAAAATTGTAAATGTTTACTATGCTCTTTACTTATGTATTAAGACAATTTCTCTTTCTAATTAATAAATTAAAATAATAAGAATAAAACGGAGATTTAGTTTAAAATTACATTAAAAATGTAAAATAACAATCCTTATAAAACAAAAGTTTTAAATGAAAAGAGTATTGAACATCGTTAAAAACCGTTTATGTTGTAATGGTACTTCTTTTAATTCCATTTATTGCCATAGTACTATGATCGCATTGTAAATCAAATGGCGATAGTATGCCAAACTTTTAAGAATAGTAAAAAAAATGCGCCAAACTTTTAAGAATAGTAAAAAAAATGCGCCAAATTCTCATTAAATATTTAAATACCCAACTTTTTAATAAAAAGAAAAATTATGCATATATTAAAGTAACGTTAATATTTGTTTACATTGTTAAACTTAATTTAAAATTATATTTTAGATTAGATGGATTTGTAAAATCCTAAATTGAATCTACAACATCTTGATTTGAGGAATATAAATGTATATATGGAAAAAAAGGAATGATTTGTTTAACTATATCATCAAAATGCATTTATTTTTTTGGTTATTTATTTTTAGAAACTACAAATTAAATGTATATGAGTTGGAATAATAATAGAATATATGACATATCAAAAAAATATTTCCGATATCATATGAATGAAAATAAAACACAAAAAATCACATTTTATGCAGGATCAAACTCACAGACCGAGAAATGGCGTTGGGGCTCACAAGGCGATCAGATTAGGACGTTATTGACATAGAAAATGCAATCTCCCTCGCTTGGATGTTAAAATAGAGGCTCGATATACTAGATTTTGAAACACAAACACAAGACATAAATTTTCTGAACTGTGATGATTGGTAACATTTGTGGAATGATGGAATGGTGAAAAAACATAAAAACATTTGTCCAATAAAAAAAATCTTATAGAAAAACGCAAATTCTGCGGAATTACGTTTTTGCTTACAGAAAATATAAAGAAATCTTTATTAAACGGAAAAGCGTGTTTGAAGTAGATTATTTACAGAATTAATATTTATATTATTTAATCATATAATTAATTATATTTTATTATTTAAATAAATATAAATAAATAATTTAGTGTTACAAAAAATTATTTAATGATAAAGTTATATCTATTATTTAAGGGTTGCAATATTTTTTAATTTCTTTTTTAATTTTGAAAAAAAATTTATTAAAAAGTTACAATTAAAATTATATTATTTTATAATAATTGATTGAATTATTAATATTTTATTTTTTATAATATATAGTAAAAAGCAAAATATTTTTAAATAAGTATATTCTACAATTCCGTCATTCCGCCATTCTTCATAATTTATCTAATCGTGTTATTAAAAAAAAGTTCCGTAATTCTGTAATATATTATTCCGCACTTCATTTTTTTCGTCATTCCACAATTCTGAAATGTAAAAAATATTTTACCAATCGAAACAGTAAACATTGGCTTCCACAAAGACAATAGATTAAAGATAAGCTTTTATGAAAGTCATTAAGAATCTCTATGTGAAAGTTCTATGAGAAGGCACATGCAAAACTCTGCGAAACTCCCTATGAAGGTCTTTATGAACAATTCATTAAATGAGCTCCCTGCAAAGCTCTTTAAATACTGTATTAGATGAGACAAAAAATAACACTATTACAATTTAGGATAAAAAGTTGAAATCAAAATATTCATACAAAAATAATTGAATAAAAGACAAAAGAAAAGGAGAGCATGGTCATTGTTGTATGCATGATTGCATGTATTAATGTATATCTAATTGGACTCCGTAAACAAATGTTATTTCAAAAACTTATTATTTCTCAAAATGTGACTGTAGCTCGTAGGCTATAGTTTTCATTTTTATAAGAGCATCTTCAATTCTACTCTATTTTTCATTATAAATGTTATTTTGAAGTAAATTTTTTTTTAACTCTACTCTATTTTCTACTCTAAAATAGAATAATCCTAAATTCTGGTTTATATTTAGAGTGAACCTAAATTCTACTCCATTTTAGAATTAGATTTTTTTATTTACAACTGATCTTTTACATATTAAACAATTTTATTTTATACTATTTAATATTTGTAAACATTATAAACAGATAATTATAAAAACTGAATCACTATAGTTATTATTAGAAAAGAGTGCAAAATAAAATAAACTTAAAAGTATATAACAAATGTTGAAATTAAGATAAATGTTGATTTTTTTTAATTTGTAATTTACAAAAGTTCTGTAAACAACAAACTAAATGAGATTTATTTGTAAATTTAAGAAATAAAAAGTATTAATAATAAAATAGAAATAAAATCTATTTAGAATATTCTTTTTGGAGAAAAAAATGGAGACATACATTAGAGCAAAATTCAACTCTATTTTGGAGTTACTCTATTTTAGACTTAAAATTTAAAAAATACATTGGAGATAGTCTAAGGCATATATTTCAACATGTCAAACATCACATCTCAAAATGTAAAACGGAAAAAAAACATATACGGATTTGAGTTGAAAACAAGTTTTTTGTATTATATATCATCAAAATGTATCGCTAAACCGTAGACAGGTGAATGTGATTATATCGATTTCAAGCAGGCTTCAAAGATATGGGAATTCAGAGAAATAAGAGATCATGATTGAAGATGGGATGATTGTTTATAAAAAACAAGACATAATAAAGTAAATTGTAAAGGAATTATAGAATCGGCATATGTTTGTAACAAGAGAAAACAATAAAGAACACTAAAAAAATACATAAATAAAGAACGCTAATTAAGTGTTGCTTGATATTGTAGCGGCTGGAGACGACAGATCCAAGCAGTAGCTGAAACATATGGTTGGAGAGTTTGAAACGCCTCACCGGAATCGCAGTGGCTCATCGGAACACCAGGGTGGCACCAAGGAGAGATGGGAACGTCTAAGGAAGGAGGATAGAGAGAGAAGGCGACAGAGAAGAAGCAAAACGTCCAAAGGGAAGAGGAGAGAGAGATTAAGGTTTCTCTGCTTCTTTGGAACTTTCAGAATGAAGAAAAAGAACGAGGAAGGCTCTCTATTTATACTCAATAGGAAATTTAGGCAGGAAGTATAGATAACCAAGAAAAATGAATGATAATTATGAGAAGACGATAACTACAAATCCTTTTGGGAATAGATTCATTAATATCACATTAAAAATATAATATTATCTAGAACCACGAAATATTTATCTCTCGAAAGAAAAATGAAATATCGAGAAATTAAAAATTGAGCTTTCAATCTTTCAGTTCAGGTTTGAATAACAAACGAGTCTGGTTTTAAAAATTGAATCGTTACAATTCTTCCTCCCTTAACGAGAATTCGTCTTGAATTCTAAGGCATGGTCTCCACGGCCGGCTTAAGGCGATGAGATAGACTTGGAGATCATACCAAACAAGGCTACTGCAAAATGTTCATTGAACGGAAGGCACATAATACTTTGAAAATCATTTCTAAGCAAGCAAAACTTTTATTAAAATAAATCAAGCAATCAATCAACACAGAATAAGGCTCTTATTTTAATGCATAAATAAAAAACTATCTTAACTCTAAAATGAATCCCCCTCCAAACATCCCCTAAAACCCCAAAGTGCAGCCCTATTCTAGATAAGTCTTCATGTAGCTTCTCCTAACCACGTCTGAGATCGTAATCATGGTCGCCTGGCACCTTGCATTTAGAAGGGTCCGACTCGTTGTCACCCTTGTCTTGTTGTCTATGTTCCTCCTTGATATCCTGCTCGACAAGCCAAGCCATGTTAATGACTTGGCTGGCAGATCGAATGAGTTTGTCCTCCTCGGGATAATGTATACTCCCGCGGATCTCCGGTCTCAACCCTTCCCGGAAAGCTATGGCCATGTGGAGATCACAATAGGTGACTCGAACATTGTCTCTCATGTCCTGGAGGTAGGCCATGCGGTACTGCTCTACAAAACGTCCACCCTAGTTTAACCGGGGGTAAGACAGCTGAACATTCGGCCTAACATATGGCGCGGAGTTCTTGCGGGGGCGTCCACGCTTACGTGTTAGCTGGTCCTCATGGACCATCACTCTACCAGAAGAGGATCGACACGTGCCCCGATCTTGTACAGCTTCGAGCACGTCTGTCGCTAGCGCAGCACAGGCTTTCACCTCCTCCCGAGTTGGCATTTTTCGAGCAGGGCGGGCAAGTCGAGTGGGAACCTTGTTGAGCGGAGTGGTCTGCTTCCAGGCTGTCTTGCGGGTATGAGCCCTGCTTTGGCATGGGAATGAAAAGCTAAACGTCAGATGTTAAGTATGCATAGGTGGGCGTCATAAAGCAGTTTGTAAAACAAGTTAAGTGCACGCATAGGATTTTCAAACACTAAAACTTTCTAGGACTGACCCTTCGGGACA